CGGGAAGCCCGGAGCCCGGGCGGCCGTCTCCCGCGCAGGGAAGGCACCGCTGCCATCGCAGGCGTGGTGGGAATTTTCAAGCAACTACACTGAGGCCATGAAACTCATCCCGCTAAAACTAAAATCATCCGGACCCGTATCTTTCTGGGAAAGGCACGAAAATCCCCAGGATGGGAATGTCCTCGCACAGACCCAGGGGAAGCTGCTCTGTCTCTCCCTTTGGGTTAGGGCTTGGCTAACGCCCCGAAGCCCGAGCATTTACGCGTCTGCCCAACGCCATCACAGAGCTGCCTATCACCCACACATATCTCTGAGCCTTTTTAAACTCTCCTAAGATCTCGCACTTCGCTGAGGTACCATCAGCGATGAGAGCATCCATCAGGCGCGCTTCCAACCCCCCACCAAAGCAAACAGCCAAAGCAACGGCAAAAGCACACCCGCGACACAGAGGGGAGGCCGAGTCCCCCTCAAAAATTACCTTTGGGAAGCTTCGGATTGGTTTTTCCACGTGTTTCTATTTCCTGGCTGAAATTTTGATACCATCACGCTCAATTTGTTTTGAACAAATAACTCCAACACCAGTAGGAAAAGAGCGCGGCAACAACTCCCATGACTTGGAGTTACCTCTTGAGAAAGGCTTTACAACAGGTAGGTATTTACTTGCCTTTCGGCCAAGTACAGAAATATGTCTTACATAGGCTAAAGTATTAAAAAACCCCAAATCATAGATTTTCTGACACTTTTTGGTAGAAGTGTTGCGACTTGAATACGTTTTTAAATACAATTTTTACTGAATGGTCTCTATTTTTCACTGCTCTTCTTCCACACTGCCCCATTCATTTTTAGTTATCATCTCCTTAAGTTCAGCCTGGAGAAGAGAAGGCTCTGGGGTGACCTTAGAGCAGCTGCCAGTGCCTGAAGGGGCCAACAGGAAGGATGGAGGGGCTTTTCACAAGGGGGTGCAGGGATAGGACAAGGGGGAACAGCTCTAAACTCAAAGAGGGCAGATTTAGATGAGATATT